TCAGGCCCCGCCACTCCCACTTCCAGGCCCCGCCCACCGCGCTGCCCCGCCACGCCCTCCCCCCCAACCCATCCCCATCCAGACTCCGATCCCGCCAGCCCCGCTGCTCCGCATCCGCACCCGCCGCTGCCGCCCACCCGTTGTGTTCCCCGCTGTGCCGGGGTCGAGTGGCCTAAATAAACGGAAGCCATTCTCCTGGAACCACAGCATACCAGGGCCCTGTGTGGACACGCCGCGAGGCTGGGAGAGAAGGGACAGGGAGGGGGCGCACACTTCACCTTTCGTGAAGTGACGACGGGGCAGATCCTGAACGCAGCCCGATTCCACCGCGGACCTCATCTGGTGACCAAAGGGCCAGGAAGGTGCGGGGAGATGCCCTGGACCCTAATTTCTCCCGAGGGAAAGAGGGACCGAGAATTCAGCCGGACGGGAGGGGGCGGAGAGTTGGACCAAATCCAGTTTATCCTCCCCGACCCAGGTGCTCCACCGCTGGGCACACCTCCCTCAAGACCGCGCATCAGAGACCGTCCGAGCTAGGGAGGCGGGGCTGCAGCTGCAGCTCGAGGTCTGTCCCTGGCTTGAATTTGGGCACAACAACCCTGCAACCCAAGGCTGGCTAGAGGGTCTTGCAAGCCCTGCAGGGCTTCAGCTGTGCTTGCTTAAGCCGGGCCCTGGCATGGCCCGTGTCACCTAGGAGGCTGTCGGGCCGGAGGTGGCCAGTCAGCTGGACTGGCAGAGGGTCCAACGCTGGGCAAGGGGGCAGAGGATGAGGGGCTGGTGTGGGGACCTCCAGACAAGAGCTAGGAGGGGCCATGGGAGATGCTGACCAGCCAGGGAGCAAGGTTGGAGCTGGCTTGGGCCGGTCTGGCCAAGGATCACAGGACAAGTTAGGGAATTTGGACACTATCCGGGGGTCAAGGTTAAGCTGCTGACGGGATCAAAGCACATGTGCACTTTAAGAAGGACAGGTTGGAGGCTGTTCCTCTCTTGGCTTCTGGCAGGCAGAGGGCATGTCCAAGGTTAGGAGCAGGAGCCAGGGTTCACAGGGTAGCCAGAGGACCATGGGCTGACGACAGGGCTGGTGGGAAGGCGCACTTGGCCGTCTTCCAGGGGCTTCTCAAATCTGTGCCTCCTGCTGCACATGGCCACCCTGGCCTGCAGCCAGTCCACCTCTCTGGGCGCAAAGCCCCAGGCGATCCAGGGGCCCTGCAATTACTAGCTCAGTACTACTGGACACAGAAGGTCCCCAGAGCCTTAGGTCTAGAGTTTCCCACCGTGATCCACAGAACAAAATAGCTCTTACATGGAGCCCAGGTGAGCACGCATGCACGCGTACCTCTGTGCCTGATCCTCAAGCCTCGAGAAGCGATGCTCGGCTCCGCTGGCCTCCTGGTACTCCGATGACCCCGCTCCTGCCCCATCGATTTCTGAAAGGTGCTGGTCCGGTGATCTTGGAGGTGTTCTCCGGCTGAGGCCACTTTAGCTTCGGCTGGCATTGGCGTCTTCCTCGGGCTTATCTGGTTGTCTGAGTCCTCTCCCTCCGGGCCTTACAAGTGAGCCGGCACAACCACCCCCAGGCCTGAGGGACGCGCGAAGCCTTTGGGACACGCCAAACTCCTTTCAGCAACGAAGAGGGAAATCTTTCCATTCCACGTGTAGCCACACGTTCTTTCTGGTATTAACTACCACACCTGTCTTTTGTAATAATCCTGGCTGGGAAATCAATGCTGGTCGGGGTCCGCTAAGCGGATTGGGGGTCGGTCACCCCTGGGCAGTTCGAAGAACCTGCCCCGCTCCAGCCACGCCTACTCCCGTCTGCCAATCATCCTCGGCGGGGCGAC